TGGGGGCTTCGCCCCCAGTCCCCCAAAAGGGAGGCAAGTGCCGACAAAGCAACAGCGGCGCCGCATGTGGCCGCTGCGCTGTGCCAGGCGCAAGGGTGGCTCCCCCGCATTTCGCCAATCCTCAATGTGCCATCGCCAGCTGATTGGCGAAATTTGGACGCGACAGCAGTCCTCATCGCCCGCCCATCGCCAAAGCTGCCACGAGGGCCAGAAACACTGTGCCAGAGCGAGCGCTCGCCCTTTCGTTGTGTCCTGGCGCCATGGGCGCGCCTGGACCTCCTCGCAAGCCCCTGGGAATCAAGCAGCTGACACTGAGTTTTTGCGCAGGAGCCACCCTTGCAACGCTGCTCCACGGCCTGCATGCTCCCGGCTACAGCCCACCATCTGACGCAGGTGAAGCCGAGACCCGCAGGGCGGTCACCTTGCTGCAGCGCGGCAGGGCTGCAGCGGGCGACTGAACCGCCAGTGCCGCTGCCGCCGCCCGGCGGTTTGAAATTGGGGATTCGTGGTGTGTTGCTCACGTGGCTGCCTTGTTCCCATCTCAATTTTGCAGCATGCCAGACCAGTGGAGTGCCGCCACCCGTGCTCCATGGCTGCTCCAGCCAGCAGCAGAGCGGCGGGCCGTCCGTCGTGCCGCCGCTGCTGCCGCCGCTGCCCTGGGAGCCGCTGCTGACGGCGGCGCAGCTGCGGCGGGGGCTGTCCTTCTACGGCAGCGGCGCACGCATCGAGCGGGTGGCGGCCAAGCTGCTGGCAGGGCAGCCGATCACGGCGGTCACGCTGGGCGCCAGCGTCACAAGAGGGCATGGCGCCAGCAGCGTGGAGAGCGGCTACCCGTCCAGGTTCTTCGATTTCCTCAACGCCAGCTTCCCACACAGGTGCGCCCTGCTGCCCTCAAAACGTCAAGTTGAAGGTGTGAAAAGCTGCGCAAACGGCTCACCCTGCTGCCGCTGCCACCTGGCCCCACAGGGACCACGTGCTGCTGAACAAGGGCATCGGCGCCACCAACAGCGGCATCTACGCCGTGTGCTTTGAGAAGCTGGTGCCAGCCGGCGCCGACCTGGTGGTGGTGGAGTTCACCTTCAACGAGCACAGCGCCGTGCCCTTCCCGCACCCCACCCGCCGCGGCTTTGAGCAGCTGCTGCGCAAGCTGCTGCGCCTCCCCGCCTCCCCCGCCGTCATCGTGCTGCACCACTACGCCTGGTTTTATGCGTATGGGGACGGCGTGGAGGCCGGGCTGTACTACCGGCCGGCAGAGGCGCAGCTGAGCACGCTGGCGCAGGTGCGGCGCGCGGCGGGTCAGGGCCTGGCAGCGGCAAGAGCCCCCTCCGGCGTGGTGGCGCCTCTTACTTGTGCACCGCCGTGCTGCTCGCAGTACTACGACATCCCAGCCCCCTCCGTCCGCAACGCGCTGTACCGCATGATGCAAGCCGATGTGGCGCCCTACAAGGCACGCCCGCCGCTGCAACACTTGCGCCTGGTCCTGCTGGTACTGCTGGTCCTGGGCGCATGCTGGCGGGGTGGATGGGTGGGCGCCCCTGGTGCACCGCGGTGGGTGCGGCTCCAAGCAAGGCCAGGGGCGGATGGGGCCAACAGGCCCTCGCCTGCGATGCTCTGATGTGGTGCCTCGCCGGTGCAGGTCAGCCGCGTGCTGGTGCCCAACCTGGTCACCGTGCACAACCGCACGGTGCCGTCGGCGGAGGCGGGCACAGAGGGCGACTACTTCTACAAAGACATCATCCACCCAGCAGGTGGTGGGCATGGGGGAGGCGCTGTGAGGATGGGGAGGCCTGGCGGGCATGGGCGGGGCTTCACCAGGGGCAGGCAGCAGGGTGCGTGCGGTCGGCGCCCTCGCCAGCCCCCAGCTGATGTGGGGCTGCCCTGGTCCCGTCCCTGCCTGCCCTGCCCCTGCACCGCAGACTCGGGCCACCAGGCCATGGCCGAGCTGCTGGCGGGCGTGGTGCAGACGGCTTTGCTGAATGTGGCGGCGGCCGGCGGGGAGGCGGGGGAGACGGATGAGGCGCCGGAGGAGCTGCCGCCGCCCATGATCCCCCGCAACCTGGACCACCCCACCTCGGTCTGCGCCATGCAGGTGCGGCAGCACAGATGCGCTGCGTGCGGGTGTCAGGGGGCACGCCTGGGCAGCCGCGCTCGGCCGTGCACCCCAGCCTGCACGGCGGGCTGTGTCGCGCCACGCTTTTGCCGGGACCCCACACACCCTCCTGGCACACATGCGGTAGCTTCCGCTGCCAACCTCGGCGTCCGTACGCCTGCCGTGCTGCCTGCTGCCTGCAGGAGGACTTCCAGCCCGTGGCTAAGGGCATGGAGGGCTTTGAGTACAAGGCTGAGCGCCCGAAGGCACCCACCTTTGTGGAGCAGAAGTGGGGCTATAGGGGGAGTGGCACAGGTGAGCCGGTGCTGGTTGAGGTGCTGGGCTGGTGCCAGGGCCGCTACACACGGCTGGTGCCAGGGCCGCTACACACGGCAGCGGGCGCCGCTGCTCCAGGGGCATGGCTGGAGCGGTGGGCGCTGGCTGCCCCACGCGTGCACCATGACCGCAGCAGCAGGAGCTAGGGCTGCACCCTATACACAACTGCTGGATGGTCTCACACGCTTTCTTGCAGGTGCTTGGGTGGAGCTGGAGATCAGCACGCAGCAGGAGAGGGCTGTGGAGGGGGCCCAGAAGGCCGACGCCCCCACCCGCCACGCCACCGTCCACTTGGGCTACCTGCGGTCCTACGTGCACATGGCGCTGGCCAGGGCGGAGTGCACCTCTGGCTGCACCTGCGAGCCGACGTACCTGGACGGGCTGTGGGCGCAGCGCTCCTCGCTCACGCAGATTCACAGCTTCGAGGCAAGCCCGGCTGCGGTGTGTGCAGGCTCCGTCGCGGGGTGGCTGCGTTTGGCTGGCAGGAGTGCAAGCATTGGTCAGGTGCTCTGCTGAATCCCTCCCTCTAGCATTGCCTGCCACCCCTCTCGAGTGCAGGTCACGCAGCACCCCCGCTGCCGCATCCGGGTCACCATTGTGCCGCGCACGGCCGACACGCCCGGCGGGCTCAGGCCGCCCGGCGCAGGCGGCAAGTTCCAGCTCTCCGCTATAATGGTGGCGCATATCCCCATCACAGTGCCGGTGGGGGCCAGGGAAACCATGAACCTGCGGTAGCCCCTTGGCCCACCTGATGTTTCCACTCGATTGCTGCCATCCGCCCACCCGATTGCGGTCCCACTTCTGCTCACTGAATTTTCCGTCATCCATGCCCAATTTTATTGCGACAAATTCACTGAAGACTCCAGGCCACAGGAAACGGCCTGGAGAGTGCAACCTGAATGTGCCTGATGCGCAGCAGGCGTTGGCGGTGCTGAGCTGGCGGTGCATAACAACCGCCGCTCGCGCCATATCCGAGCCAATGCAATGCCCCGGGCGTGGGGCAAAGCTCTCACAGCCCCATCGATTGAACAGGGGCAGTGCGAATGCGGAGTTAGAGTTTAGCTGGCGCATGAACTGGGCAGCCACCGGGCGAGCATTCGTTTTTCGAAAACCCAGTGGCTTGCATTGAAACATGAGCTCCCCACGAGCTGTCAAGCGCACCGGTGGCAGGCAGCTGTTGGTGGCTTTTCTCTCTGGCGCCTCTGTTGTGCTGCTCATCACCTGCTTTAGGCAACCAGGTGCGTCACACGTCAATCAAACGCAGCGCAGTAACGCACCTACTCAACCTGTTGGCTTGCCGCTGCCGCCGCCCGTACGGCGGCATCTGGCACAGGCAGAAAGACGCAGGCGTCTCTCGACTATGCACTGCCTCGCATTCTGCAGGCCTCACCTTTGGGTGGAAGCCTTTGTCCTTGACCGGCGGCTGGGAACTGAATTCCGTTGAACAGGTGAGATTGGCGTGTTCCGCCAGTGCAAGGCAGCACAGACGTCCTAAACACAGGACGTGCACGGACACGTTGCACGGCGCTTGCGTCCTTGCACAATGACACTCTCCCATGACGCTGCCTTCTGCTTCGCAGTGGCACGTGCCGCCGCCGCTGCCCTGGAAGCCGCTGCTGACGGCGGCGCAGCTGCGACGGGGGCTGTCCTTCTACGGCAGCGGCGCACGCATCGAGCGGGTGGCGGCCAGGCTGCTGGCAGGGCAGCCGATCACGGCGGTCACAGTTGGCGGCAGTGTGACCCGCGGGGCGGGTGCCAGCAAGGTCAGCAAGCAGTACCCAGAGATGTTCTTCCAGTTCATTCAGAGCACCTTCCCCCACAGGCAAGCCATGCCGCCGCCCTTGGTGCCGGCGCTGCCGCCAACGGCGTTCAGAGCCGCTGACAACATGCTGCCGCTGCCGCCTTGTGCAGGGACCACGTGCTGCTGAACAAGGGCATCGGCGGCACCACTAGCGGCATCTTCTCTGTGTGTGCCGAAGCACTGGTGCCCGAGGTGCGGCCGCCTGCCTCCCCCGCCACCCAGCCAGCCCCTCGACGCCGTGCGGGATGGCGGCAGCATGCAGCTCCTGCCCCTGTGCAGCCCTGCTTGGCCTGGCGAGCCCGCGAGCACGCCAGCGCCCGTGCCCGCTACCCTGTCGCATGAGTGGCCTCCTTCTCACGGGCACACATACCCCCGCGCCTCTCACACATCCACAAATCGCTCGCACACCCACCCACCTCATGCCGCCCAGGACGTGGACCTGGTGGTGGTGGAGTTCACCTTCAACGAGAGCCCCGACCTGCCCTACACCACCGCCAACCGGCGCGGCTTTGAGCAGCTGCTGCGCAAGCTGCTGCGCATGCGGCGCGCCCCCGCCGTCATCATGCTGCACCACTACGCCTGGTATTTCAGCGATGGCGACGGCGTGGAGGCGGGCCTCTTCTACCGGCCGGCAGAGGCGCAGCTGGGCACCATGGCGCAGGTGGGTGCATGGGTGTGTAGGCGGTTGTGGGTGTCAAGGCCAAAGGACTCGGTCCAAGGATGGGTTCCATCGGCGCAACTCTCCAGCAGGCACAGCAGGTGCTGCCGCCAGGGAGACACAGGTGGCAGCATCCCAATCTCAATTCCCCCGCTGTCCTAGCTCGCCTCCCCTGTCCCCGCTTGCCCCAGTTTTACGACATGCCCTCGCCCTCGGTGCGCAACGCGCTCTATGCCTCCATGCAAGCCGACCTGGAGCCCTACCGGGTGAGGCCATGCCTGCCAAGACTGCATGGCAGCCCTGGCAGCGGTGCCCGCATCTGGGCATGCAGCCCTGCATGACGAGATCGGGGCCGTGATGGGCGCGGTGGGGAGGAGCGCCGGAGCGCTGCAGCGAGGTTTCATGCCACCCCTGGCGTGCCGGCAGGCTAGTTCGGTGCCGACGTGGAATGTGGTGTGCCCCCGGGGCGGCCTGCAGGTGGGGCGCGTGCACAAGGGCGGCATGACCACCGCGCGCGGCAACAGGATCCGCGTGGCGGGGGCCAAGATCAGGCACCGCTACTATTACGACGACGACATACACCCCTCGGGTGGGCGCACCTGTGGAGCACGCCATGCGTGCGCGTGTGCTTGGCATGTGTGCCGGCGACAGGGCGGTGGCTGGGATGCCGTGCTCGTCGCCGGCAGCAGGACGTATTGACTTGCAGTGCCTGCCCTCACCTGGCCCCTGGGAGACTCCCCCCCCGTGCAGACACGGGCCACCAGGTCATGGCTGAGCTGCTGGCGGGCGTGGTGCTGACGGCGGCGCAGAGCGTGCTGGCGGGCCGCAGCGAGGCCAACGGCACCGCGCTGCGCGCAGCGCTGATCGAGGCGGCCGAGCCGGATGGCCCTGCCGCCGCGGCCACGCCGCTGCCGCCGCCCATGATCCCCGGCAATGCGGAGAACCCGACCACGCTGTGCGCCATGCAGGTGCGGGGTGCGGCGCGCCTGGCGCCTCTGCTGCAGATCTGACGCAGATCTGGAGAGCAGCGGCCGCCGGCACAACGTTCAGGTTGAGGATGGACAGGATCTGAGCGAGCCTTGTGTGTACCGCGCCCCTCCCGCTGTGCTGTGCCGTGCTGTGCCCTGCAGGAGGACTTCCAGCCCATGGCCCACAAGCTGCAGGGGTTCCGCTACAAGGCGGAGCGCCCCAGGGCACGCACCTTTGTGGAGCAGAAGTGGGGCTACACGGGAGAGAGGGCAGGTGGGGGTCGCCGGCGCCGGCGGGCTGGGGAGGCCACCAGGCACGCCACGTGGGCCGCCCACCCCCCAGGCCTGATCCTGCCACCGCCCAACGCGTCGGCGGCCTTGCCCACCATGCGTGCATTGGCCGGCGGCAGGCCCCAAAGGTGGCCGCTCCGCTGCGTGCGTGCAGGGGCGTGGATGGAGCTGCAGGTGGGCACCGAGGAGAGCCCCGGGTCGCGGGGCGAGGCCACCGTGCACCTGGGCTACCTCAAGTCCTACCTCGGCATGGGCGCGGCGGTGGCGGAGTGCAAGGTGGGGTGCACGTGCAAGCGCTCGCTCATGGACGGGCTGTGGAACGCCACCGTCTCGCTCATACAGATGCACAGCTTCCAGGTGCGTGTTGGGGGCGGTGAGCAGCTGCGCTGTGGCGCGCATGCCCTGCCAGCGCAATGCACCCTGAAGCCGGCCCTGCCTCATGAGTTGCTTGCCTCCATTGCGTGCCCACCCATGGTGCCTGCAGGTCACCCAGCACCCCAGCTGCCTCATCAGGGTGACCATCATAGAGCGCACCGCGGAGATGCCAGGGGGGCTGAAGCCCGCGGGAGGGGGCTACAAGTTCCAGCTGAATGCCATCATGGTGCGCTGGCTGGTGGTGGGATGCAGCCCATGCATCCTGCCCTGCTGCCCGCCGCCCGCTTGCCCTGCGCTCACGCACAACCACGCCGTTGGCACCGCTGCAGGTGGCGCACACTCCCCTGGTGCTCACAACCTACTTCCAGCAGGCTGAAGACTTTGCGGACAAGGTGGCGGCATAGCCCAGCTATGCGCTGTCCCACATGTGCCACCAACACGCATTCTTACCAAAACCAACCAACTGACCCTGAACTGCCAACTGCCTTGTGTTACTTGTGCCACATTCTTTGCCTCTTGACCAGAGGTGCCCCTCCTTGACTACATACGACTACAGTACTCTTTTGTAATCCCTTGGACTCTGGTTCAGCAACCGTCGCCACATCAGCGGCCACCTCACCCGCTGGCCACACAAAAATGCTCTTCACAACACCCTGGCCAGACGCTGCCCCATCCAAGGTGCTGCCTCCTGCTGCCGCATCTACCAGCACCTCGTGCTGCGCCATGGTCTCCACCGACCGTTCCAAGCTTGTGGCTGTGGCCAGCCTGGTCCCAGCCGTGCTGTTGGGCTTGCTGCTCTTCTGGCAGTGGCGCAGCACCGCCTGCACCTTCGTGGAGGCAGCCCCAGGGCTGCGGCTGTGCCACCAGCACCTGCTGGGCTACCAGCCGGAGACCGCGCTGATCAGAGTGCAGAGCCGGGAGGGGGTGTGGCCCTGGCGCCGGGCGGTGAGGGGAAGGGGCGGTCCAAGACTCGGGCTGACAACAAGGTTGCGCCCGCTTACCACCTCTCCCAGAAGGGAGCTGCCCCGAAGGTCCCATGGCCCCAACTTCCCCTCTTAGGTGGACCACTGGGTGCTGGTGGACGCAGGCGTCAGAGACTCCCTCCTGTTTGGCAGCCATGCCAGCAGCCTGCTCAAGGCCGTGCGGCACGCGCTGCGGCCGGCGAGGCCCGGCGAGGCGCCTGGGCAGCTGGACCTCATCCTGTGTGAGCCATGCCCCGCGGTTCCTGCTGCCGCTGGTTGCGCCTGCGGGCCTGCTGCCGTGGCAGGCGCCGTGTCGGGTGCAGGATGCCTGCTGCTGCTGCCGCTGCTGTTGCTGCAGTGACCCACGCCCACGCGATCGGAGCGCTGCCCAAGCTGCTGCAGGCATACCCAGATGCCAAGGTGGGGCGCCCTGGCTGCATGCGTGCGAGAAAACACATGCTGGCTTTCTGTCCGTCAGTCGCTACCAAAATACATCCTCGCCTCCTTCCCCGCAGGTGGCTGCCCACGCCGAGGAGCTTCCCTTCCTGGTTGGCCACCCGCCCCAGCCTCTTGTGGACAACAAGACCCAAGTGTTGCTGTCTGCCAGGGCCATGATCGCCGCAGGCCTGTTCCCTATTGCGGAGCAGCAGCAGGGCGTGCCTGCAGAGCGCGCAGTGGCGCTGCATGGCGAGGGCGGAGATCTGGCAGACGCCGCCAAAGCTGCTGGGGCTGCCGCCAAGCGCGCGCTGCGCTGGCTGCCGCGAGGGGTGCTCAGGTGGGGGGCAGGAGAGGCAGGCGTGCGTGGCGCAAGGCGCACACAGCAGATGGCGTGCTGCTCTGTACAGCTCCAAGGTTCTCCCCATGCATCCAGCAGCCCGCCAGGCAGGTTTTCTTTCCTTTCTCCCCTTCCCCGCAGCTTCATCAAGGTCGGTGGCCACACGCCCGGCTCCATCGCAATCATCCACGCTCCCAGGCAGGTCCCACTGGCTCATGGTGCCCACCCCGCCCACGGTGGCAGCCTGCTCAGCCCACCGCTTCAACGCGTCTCGCTGCCCCCTCCCTTGTGCATGCAGTGGCACGCTGCTGGCGGGAGACGCCGTGGCGCCCACCAAGGGCTGGCTGGGCTGGGGCGACGGCCTCACCGTGTCTCCCTACGCCAGCACCACCCCCGCCGCGCTGCAGGCGGCGGCCAAGGCGCTGATCATGCAGGTAGCTTGGCGTGGGAGGGGGTTGGCGCAGGAGCCTGCTGGCCAGAGCAATAGCCACCTGAGCACCTGAGCCTGCCCGCTGCCTGCCTGGCACTTCCCTAAGCGTGTGCCGCCCGCGCTCCGCGTGCTCCGCAGGAGGGCCGCAGCTGGAGCTGGCTGCTGCCGCTGCACGGCGGCAACTTCAGCAGGCTGCGGGCGCAGGAGCTGGTGGGGTCCTGGCCCGACGAGGTGCCGCCCGTTGTGGATGCCCCGCAGGCCGCGGCTGATGCCGGGGCAGGCGGGCCGCCACCTCACGCCCAGGTGCGGTGCTGGCAGCGCGAGCGGCACCTAGGCAAGCGGGATTCCTGATGTGCGGGTTAACCTGGACCAAGAGCGTGTGTGCAGGAGCGTGCCGCCTCACACGACACAGCCGCCGCGGGCCTGGGCCTGTCGCCGGGCAACGGCGGCGGCGGCGGCGGCAGCTTCAGCCTCGACACCGATGGCGGCGGCGGTGGCGCCAGGGGGCCAGACCTGTGAGGCTGGCGAGCTGTGGGGCCGCCTAGGCGCCCCCGGGAAGCAGCTTAGCGGGACAGCAGCTGTACAGAGCCTAGCCCAGGTGGCGGGGCGCCAAGCCTGGCCTGGAAGAAAGAAGTGCAGGGATTGTGCAACGCCAGTCAGAGCCAGGGCAGCAGTCCCGCCACGCGCTGCCCACTACTGCTTGTTGCACTCAAGAAACGCAGCCAAGAAAACCGAATAAGATGGCATGTTGTGATGTGATAGGATAGGATAGGTTCAGTCAGCAGCGCAAGCCTTGCAACAGGCATCGGGTGCGGGCGACAGCAGAGGCCCAGGCCGAGGCGGGCCGCCCGAGCGGGGCTTCAGCCGCTGTGGCGGGCGCCGCGCCGCCCGCGCTGCGCTCCCTGCAGCACCTCCCGCCGCCGGTACGCCTCCCGCTTCATCACCATGATGCGGTCGGAGCGGTCGGGGTCGGAGCAAATGGCGGTGCACAGCTGGAAGTGGGGGGGAGGGCAAGGGGAGGAGGAGGGGAGGGGGAGGGGAGGGGCGCCGCGTGAGCCTCGCGGGCACCGCCGTGTGGCCGCTGTGGTGGATCGCACACGCCAGGCTGTGTGTGTGGGGGTGCTGAGGTCGAGTCCCGGGCCTGTGGGGCCTGGTTGCAGCATCGCGGGGCCATACTGCTCCGGCCCCCCCTCTGCCCAGCCCTGCCCTGGGCCCAGCAGTGCTGTGCCACCCGCCGCCGCCACCCCGCCTCCCCACCTCGATCAGCCTCCCGGTTGACTCTGGCTCCCGCTGCGCCAGCGCCCGCATGTACTTGAACATGGTGGGGGTCTTGGGCACCCTGCAGGCCACACACACGCACGCGCGCACACACACATCCACGCACAGCACCACGGGTGAGCGGCAACCGCGGGCGACGGCACGGGCCGGCAGCCTGCTGCACGCACACACCACAGGCCGCGGGCAGCCCGTGCTTTCCCCTGCCTCCACACATCACCACCACCACCACCACCACCCACCACCACCACACCCACCACCACACGCACAGCACCACCGCCCCCGCCCCACCTGTGCGTCTTGCGCATGTTGTCGAAGATGCGGTGCGCCAGCGACAGGTCCCCCACATCCCGCCGCACAGCCAGCATCAGCACCTCGGTGCCGTGCTCCACATCCACAAACAGGCCTGTACGTAGCACGCGGCACGCGGCGTGGGGCACCTGCCCTGGCCGGGCAGGCCGCTACCGCAGCCCTCCTGCGTCTCTGCTCCCCTGCGCAACTGCCAGGGGCAGGCTGGGCCCTGGCAGGGCCTGTCAACCTGCCCTGCACTGCGCCCTGCCCTGCGCCCCACACAGCCCCACCCACCCTGGCGGTCGAATGTGTCCAGCACGGCATGAGCCACCATCATCGCATCCTCCACACCTGCCGCCTGCACAGAACAGCAGCAGCAGCAACAGCAGCAGCAGCAGCAACAGCAGCAGCAGCAGCACGGCAGTCAGCGCCCCGCGGCAGCGCGCCAGCGCGCCCGCCAGCCCACCGCCGCCACCCACACTCTCTCCCTCTCCCTCCCTCCCCTCTCACCCCCTACCCTCTCTCTCTCTCTCTCTCTCTCTCGCTCACACACACACACACACACAGCCCCCCCAACAGTACCTGCAGGTCCAGCCCCGCCTTGAGCATGGTGTATGTGATGTCTGGGCCCCACACCAGACCCTGGTCCAGCACCTCCTGGTACAGGTGCAGCGCCTGGGGGTGGGGGGGTGGGGGGGGGGGCGCCACGC